GCTGAAGCCGTGATATGGAGTATGAAATGCAGCAGGTGTTTACTTGCAGGTGTATATTGGGTATTTCCTGCGTATTCATGTCGCGCCCTGGCTGACATGGTGGCACTTCATTTCATTGACAAGATTCATTGACAAGTTAAACCATGAACTTCATCGACCATAACCAGACTCCTGGTCGGCACCATTAAGTATTGCCGGTAGTCACAATCACAATCTAGTCAATATCTATGAGGAGCATGGTAGCGGATGAGAGACAGGCAAGGGTGACTTGGGCCGTCTACATCTCACTCTACATCCAAACACAAGGTATCAGACAGGCGCCGGACTTCGGAACTCTCTCTACACCTCGTACCTCGAATCAATGAGTTGTCCTACTATACGGTACATTGGCTTACACTAACGAAAGTAGATTTGTCTTTGAATATGTCGCGACTATTGAATAAGGATAATGTAAGCACAAAGTAACTTCACCCTTTATGCGTGTGGCTCTATAACCACCTCTTGACATGTCCATCTGTGATTGTCCATCTGTGATGTGTGGTGTGGGAGCCTGGAGGATGCTTCTGCCCATGTCCTGGTCCTGGACAGTCGATGACTATGCGGAGCATTGATCAGATTCAAGCTACGATCCGATACTTGCAGTTGCCTCCTGTACCAAGCCTGGTACTATTGGGAATGTCCTTCGTCCCGCTGTCGTACAGCCGCCGGCCCCAAGCTGGGCTGTGACATGGGGTCAACATGCAACGCCCGCTGCCGGTCTGGCTGAAGAGGTGTTTTGGCCATGCATGAAGTCAGAGACGAGGAAGATGCCCCGGCAGAAATGTGCATGATAGAGTCTCTAGGGAAGTGCAAGATAGAAAGGCAACAGAGGTTTGATGGGGGGGGGGGGGGGAAGGAGCTGGTCGGACACCAGGTCTGTATCTGGGGGTGGCCCTGCCTTGACTTGAGGGGTCCTGAAAGAGGAAAGAGGGGAAGAAACATTGGGCAGAGTGCAGTTTTCCTGTCATTTTTCCTGTTCTTTTTCTTGTCTTTCTTCCCGTCTTTCTTCCTGTCTTTCTTCCTGTCTTTCTTCCTGTCCTTTTTTTCCTGTCTTTTTTCCTGTCCATGTTTCTCTAGGCCTCGAGGCATTCGTCAACGATGCGGAGAAGGCAGACCCGACAGAAACGACAGATGGATGCCTCTCACCCTGCCGCTCACAGATGCCACGTCAACCACGCGACCGTAGAAGAAAAGGTTTTCGTTTCTACATCCTCGCTTCTCTCTCTATCTCTCTCTCTCTAAAAAAAAGGAAAAAAAAAACAACCTCCTCATTCTACAGCGACGGGCACATGGAGCAAACATCTAGCAACCAGTCCTCCAGTGGAGCTCCAAAACAGCTGCCGCCCCACTCAAAAATTGCCTGAAAGCTCAACCGCGACGACCGCGACAACGTCAACGCCAACGCCAACGTCCATCCCCGACCGTGATCGAACCCACGACCCACAACCCACGAAGCGCATACCCCCAGCTATGCGCCACAGAAGATCATGTCAAAGTCATGGACATCAACCCTGAGGTTGCCCAAGTCCACCTTGCCGTGAGCCGCCCCTCCCCCACCGCCGCACCTCGACACGTTCCAGCTAACCGCCCGGTCCATCACCCGCAGACCTAGGCCCCTGCCCCAGTTCCGAGCCGAATACCTGCGACGATGCACCGATGACCTCTACAAGTGGCAGGCGGCCCATCGCACCGGCGACAAGTTCGTCTTGCACGACGGCCCCCCCTACGCCAACGGCGGCCTCCACGTCGGCCACGGCCTCAACAAGGTCCTCAAGGACATGATCCTGCGCGTCCAGGTCCAGGAGGGCCGCCCCGTCGAATACCGCCCGGGCTGGGACTGCCACGGCCTGCCCATCGAGCTCAAGGCCCTCGGCGATGCCCAGGGCAGGGGCATGACCGCCGTCGAGATCCGCACGTCGGCCCGCGCCCTCGCCGCCAAGACGGTGCGCGAGCAGATGGACGGTTTCCGCTCCTTCGGCGTCATGGCCGACTGGGACGCGCGCTGGACGACCATGGACCCCGACTACGAGATCAGGCAGCTGCGCCTGTTCCAGCAGATGGTGCGCGACGGCCTCATCTACCGCAAGCACAAACCCGTCTACTGGTCGCCCTCGTCGCGAACCGCCCTCGCCGAGCCCGAGCTCGAGTACAACGAAAACCACGTGTCGACAGCGGCCTACGTCCGGGTTCCCCATCATCGCCGATGACGCCGTCATGGACGAGCTCCGGCGCGCGCGCGCAGGCTTCGAGGGTGGACACCTGTACGCCATCATCTGGACGACGACCCCCTGGACCCTCCCCGCCAACAGGGCCATTGCCGTGCACGACGAGCTCGACTACGACGTCGTCGCCATCCGCGGCGACGCTTACATCGTGGCCCAGGCCCGAAGCGAGATCCTCGACACCCTCTTTCCCGACACCCGCCGCGAGATCCTGTGGTCGACCAAGGGCGCCAACCTGAAGCAGCTGCGGTACGCCAACAGGCTGCGGGGCAGGGCGGCCGCCTCGCAACCCGTCATCCACGCCGACTTTGTGTCGGCCGACTCGGGCTCGGGTCTCGTGCACTGCGCCCCCGGCCACGGTTTCGATGACTACGCCGTCTGCTCTGGCCTGGGCATCGACGCCGCAGCCCCCATCGACGACGAGGGCCACTTCACGAGGGACGCCTTTCCCGACGCCCCGGAACGCCTCACCGAGGCCTCTCCGATCCTCAAGGGCGGCAGCAAAGGCCGTGCTGGAAGCTCCTCGAGGGAGCACGCCAACGTGCTGCACGTCGAGAAGTACAAGCACAAGTACCCTTACGACTGGCGCACCAAGCAGCCCGTCGTCATCCGCGCCACGCAGCAGTGGTTCGCCGATGTCGACAGCATCAAGGACAGCGCGCTCGCCGCCCTCCGAGACGTCAAGTTTGTGCCCGACGCCGGCCGCAAGAGGCTCGAGAGCTTCGTCGTCGGCCGAAGCGAGTGGTGCATCTCGCGCCAGCGCGCCTGGGGCGTCCCCATCCCCGCGCTCTACGATGCCGAGGGACGTGCCGTCGTCACTGACGAATCGGTCGACCACATCATCTCGGTCATCCGCGCGCGCGGCATCGACGCCTGGTTTCGCCGACGCACCAGAGGAGCCCGCCTGGATTGCGCCCTCCCTGCCCCGCGCAGCACCACCTACCGCCGCGGCACCGACACGATGGATGTCTGGTTCGACAGCGGCAGCAGCTGGACGCAGAGCGAAGGCCAGGCCGATGTCTACCTCGAAGGCTCCGACCAGCACCGCGGCTGGTTCCAGTCGAGCCTCCTCACCTACGTCGCCGCGCAGAGGCAGAAGGCCTCTGCCGCGCCGTCGGCCTCACGCGCGCCCTTCAAGACGCTCATCACCCACGGCTTCACCCTCGA